ATCATACCACCTACTATATCCCACATAGATCCATCTCCCTACCCCCCGCCTCCACCTCACTAACCAACTGGTCCTCTCTCTTCAGCCCGCAACGTCTCATCCACCCATGGCTTCCTCCTCCGCCCTGCGCGGCTTGCGCGACGAGCTGGACGTCACCCCGGCCTACACCTTCTCCACCATCCAGTTCTCGAACGAGGTCCTGAACGCCGTCGTGGGCTCGCTCATCACCGTCTTCATCCTGGTCAACATCCGCGCCGTCGTCTCCAAGGTCGTCAACCTCACCCGCACCTCCGTCTTCCGCTACTCGTGCTGGCTGCGCGCCTACATCTTCGCCAACTCGGACGACCCGCTCCGCATCCTCTCCTGGCTCTCGCGTCGCTACGTCTACCGCGACCCCTCCTGGCAGCGCTACCCCAACCGCCTGCGCTACTCCCGCCTCGTCCTCCCCCTCCTCGCACGCCTCTTCATCTTCGTCGTCTCCATCGCCTCCGTCGCCGTCACCATCCCGGACGTCCGCCGTATGGTCGGCTGCGTCAACAACGACTACTCCCTCGCCCTCGACCCCGACCGCGCCAACCGCGACGAGGATTCCCTCCCCGTCTTCTGCGTCGACATCCCGCTCAAAACAGACCGCGGCGAGGTCGACTCCACCGCCGCATACTGCTACTGCGTCGACTCCTTCGTCCAGACCCCCACCGACGTCCCGTCCGGCCAGTCCCGCGTCACCATCGTCTCCGACCCCGCCCAGGCCACCATCCGCACCGAGGTCGCAAACCCCGTCGAGATGTCCTCGTACACCTTCTACCTCGAGTGGCGTGGCTCGGACGCCTCCCAGTTCGGCGACACCTTCCGCTCCTCGCTCCACAACACCCTCGACCGAGAAGTCCACGCCAAACTCCTCCACGACTTGTTTGTCCAGCCCGCCCCCGGCGCAACCACCGCCGATTGCTCCCCCAGCATCCCCCCTGCCAAAGTCAATGACACCACCTTCCAGTTCTCCGTCGGCTGCACCCTCGCCGCCACCGTCGACGCCGTCGGCAGGATCGAGCGGTACACGCGGTCTGCCCTCGTGTGGCGCCGCTGGAGCGCCGGCTCCGTCGCCCCGCGCGTCAAGCTCTCGCGCAACCAGTCCGAGGGCGCGGACGACCCGTCGTGCCCGCTCGACATCAAGATCTCGCGCCCCATCGTCAACATTGTCCCGCTGGCCCTCATGCTCGCGGCCTGGGTCCTCATCAACTCGCTCGTCAGCTTCTTCACGCGCAACCACGGCCACGCGCTCGACGCCGGCTTCCACATCATCAAGGAGGCCCTCGGCCACGACACCACCAACAACCCGCTGGAGAACTGCGTCGAGCGCCGGGAGGTGTGCCGCGTCGCGCTCCGCAAGTGGGCCTGCGCGGGCGGCGGCGCCCACTACGGCTTCATCGGCCGCGAGGGCGACGTCCCCGTCGCCGAATTCACCGAGAAGACAGTCGTCAGCGGCTGCTCCAGGGTCGCCATCGAGCTCAACCGCGCAGCCGCCCTCGTCGATGCACCCGTCGGCTTCGCACCGCCAGGTACACAGGAGACAAACCCCGCTACATCGCCGTAGCTGCCATGCACCCGTCGGTTGCGCACCGCCAGGTGCAAAAGAGACAAACCCCCGCTACACCCCTGTAGCTGGCGTGCACCCACCGCCCCCCACCCCCCCCACCCCCCGTGCGCCAGGGAAACGTCAGAGCCTCCTCGCTCAGTGGCTTTTCGTGCTTGCGCCTCTCGGGCGTAGCGCAGTGCAAGCGCCTTTCGTTCCGGAATAGGTGCAGCCGACCTTGGCCTTTTTTGTTGAGCATTTTGTGGTTCTAGGAACACCGATACCCCCGATCCTCTGGGGAGCGGGGGACGGCGGTGACTTTATTGTTCAAGTGAGTGAGGTGCTGTAATGCTGTGCCTTATTCTACGTGTGCCTTACTTGCTTGTCTCTGGATGGAACCACACATTTCATAGCACTACCTGCACGTTTCGGAGTGTTTCCGCGGAAAACTATCCTCGCTGTTAGTAGTGGGTACAGAGTACCCTTTCGCCCAACACAGCATTAAATATACAAGTGAACCCTCGCTATCTGAATCCTTGTTATGTGAATATCCGCGATATGTGCATGCCAATTGCTCGGAACGAGCTCCGGAGCGTTGATTGTGCAAGTAAAACTCTGCCCCTCTCTCCCCCTCCTGGGTAAGAGAGTCTCGTGAGCTCTTTTATTGATAACTACAGTAGCGGTAGCATTACATCTGAGTGTCCCTCTTGGACACCTGTCTTGCACCTCCGAGGTGCCTGGTATCCTCATAAGATATTAAATCAAAGTTCCATTCTCGAACAGTAGTAACCCCCACCTGGGGCATTTGTTGGATCCGCACTGGAGAGCCTTCACACCCCTCCTCGGATCCAACTTCGTCGTTGACG